TAAGTTTACATCACCTAATAAAAAAGTGTCTTTACAATGGATACCTTCTCATATTGGTATAGATGGCAATGAAATAGCTGATTGTTTGGCGAAGGAAGCTTCTGTTGACGGTGTTCCTTTTGCGTGCTTATCTAACTACACAGAGGTCTTAAGTGTTGTTAAACTGAATGGTTACAGACAGTGGAAAGAATACTTTGACGAGAGATCTGTGACAAAGGGAATATGGTACAAGACAATACAGCCAAATTTATGTCGTAAACCTTGGTTTATTGGTGCCAATATGAGTAGGTCCGAAATCATAACAGCCTTGAGGCTTCATTCCGGTCACATTCCATTGAATAGTTTTGCCTCCTTAATGGGTAAGGCGGTGTCATCTGACTGTACAGAATGTAATAAAATTGAGGATGTACATCATATATTAGCTGAATGTGTCCGAAATGAAGCGGAAAGAAGAATTTTTTTATTGAGATTTAATATAAATTTATTAGACATAGGAGCTTTTAACAGCATTCTGGCCGATCCTATATCGAATCAGTCAAGAATGTTGTATAAAGTAGTACAAGTCGGATTAAGACATAGAAATACTTAATTTATGTTATTTATAAGGTTGATTATTGGAAATTGTATTCCTTATGTTTAGTTGTTCCTATAGGGGTGGCATGATCACTTTGTGACCAAACCCCTTTTAAAATAAAGATTAAAAAAAAAAAAAAAAAGAAAGTTGTCTAAATAACTCTTAGCAATTTTCAACCTGCATAAGGCAATTACTGTTCTTTGTATCTATATTTAATATAATTATAGAGGTAGAGTTTGTTTTTGTTTGTTCGTTTGTCTGAATGCGCTAATCTCAGGAACCACTAATCCGATTTGAAATTTTTTTTTGCATTAAATAGCCTGTTTATTCAGGACGGTTAGGCTTTATATCATCATACTGCTATCCAAGGTAGCGGAGTAGTAATATAATAGGTATGTAGTCTATCTATTTACTAACCGTTAAAACGTACCTAAGGACGAACCCGAACGAAGCGAGGGTGAGTCGCTAGTTGGATACTATAAAATGGTAAAGTAACACGCTTTTTTAGTAGCTTTTGACAAGCTTTAGTATGAACAATTAGAAACAGTCTGTTTTTATATAGATACATACGTAAATGCTATTCATTTTCGTTTTCCCACTATACCCACAATAGTATTAATAGAAAGGTGAGACTTTCCCAATCTATTGCTAAATTAATGTGCTTTAATGGTGAAAAGTTAACTAAACAAATTTCTAAATAGTAAATAAACAATTTCATTCTACCATCGACGTTAGATATCAAGATAGCTCTCTCAATGACGTCACACCTGTTCAAATACCATCAGTCACTTTCACTTGCATGCCTGTCCGTCTGTCCACAGCTCATTATTCGGTAGCCTCTGGCCTTTTGTTTCTTATTTCTTATATAATGTTCCATTTAAACGCAATAGTAAAGAATGTTATGCTTTATTTACAAAAAAAAAAATGTCAAAAACTGTTTATTAAGAGATTTTAGACGGAGTTTAACTTTGTAAAAACTTCTAGAAGAAGTCGAAGAAAACTGTTGTGAATTATATTGATATATTTAAACAGTCTTAAAGAAACACATTATAATAAATTCGCGTGTAAATGTCCGCAATTTATTTATTAGTTAAGGTGCGTTTGATTCCATGGACATAATTTTGATACTTAGGTCCTAATTTTGGAAATTTGTTCGATTGTTCTATTAGAGCAAGAGATAGATTGTTTATGTATAAAGAGTTCGTCTTCCCTTCTTCTGATAATATTTATTATAAAATATACCAATATATACCAAGAGCGTACATAAACAAAGCGAAGACATGCCATTAATTTCAAATAATACGCGTCGTATCATTTTTTCATTCCCTTTAAATGTTAGATTTATCCATAAAATCATCATCATCCATAAAATCAATTCAAATTCAAAATATTTTATTTAGCATCAAATTATTATAATTTTTTACTGAACTTCATGAGTCTACTAAAACAAAACCTTCAGAAAGAAAAGTCTTAGTTCTAAAAAGAACTGGTAAAAGAAACTTAGAAATGTTAAATAAGTCTTAAATTACCTTAACTCTTGTTTTCTTTGACAATTTACAATTACATCACTTGAAATGCGCTACAGTTATGTATGTAAAAAAGGTGTTTCTGCTAGAGAGCATCTACCCCCCATCAACACCACAAATTATAAACCATATCTTCGAAATCTGCCACAAATTCATAAATTAATGTCATCTTCGCATAGTTCATAGTTCACGAAATGACTGCAAGCTTTATGGCAACAAAAACAAAATAACGGTGTACGAGTCCCCCACGTAAGTACCAACAATATACATCTCGACTCAAGGCACATCGCGCGCCCAAAAATGTCCTGTGACCTGCTTTCTGACAACTATGTCAAATGGTTTCTGCCAACTCATCGAAAAAATGTTAGCTATAATTTTTGATTCTAAAAACGAAATTTATTTTTTTATCGAATTTACGGTCGAAATATAGAATAATAAATACAAACAAAAGATAATTCAGCAAAACATAAATTGTAATGTTTCGTAAATGAGTAAACCTTTGCTAAGGTTTTTGGACAAAGATTTGGTTTCAGCTCTACATTCTACTCAGTATAAATATTTAATTATTGTGGAAACAAAATCAAAATATACTTTATTCAAATAGACTTTTACAAGCACTTTTGAATCGTCAATTTTACATTTTAAATTTAAATTAAATGTCAGTGTAGAGTGTAGACAGTCCGTGAGGAATCTACCACCGGCTCGGAAGGCAGTTCTGCTTGGAAGAACCGGCGAGAAACTCAACAATTGCTCTTTTTACGCCACATTTGGCTCAGTTTGTAGTGAGTGACCCTATTTGCTTCGCCAGCGGTCGCGGGTTCGAGTCCTGCTGTGGCATTTATACTTGTGTGATGAGCGCGAATGTTTGAGCTCCTGTCATGAGTGATTATATTTATAATATGTATGTATTTATAGTTTATATATGTGTAGTGTATCAACTATCTGGGATCCATAACACAAGCATCGTAGCTTACCATGGAATTAGATGGTGCTGTATGCACCTGCAGGTAAATTTCTAAGAAATCTATTGTTAACTGTAACGCCGGCGTGTCCGCGGTCGTGGGGGGAATAATGTCCCAAAATATTTATTTATTCATTCATTTTAAAATAATATTTGTTTACAATATTGTAATACAATAATTATCTACTTATCCTACGTGAAATATCCTATACTACTCATCCTCAAAAGGACGGACAGTAGAAAGTACCTTCTAAAAGTGAAACCTAATTATTAATTATATCTTCATGTAGTTCGTGGGCGTTTACTTTCGTTAGCGGTTGTCGTACAGGTGGCTCGAGCGATGGCCTCGATTCCCGTTTAATACATTTGCATTACGATTCATTTATCGAAGCGATTACTGTGTCAAATTTTTATGTTATATTTGACTAGCATTGCCCGCGGCTCCGCCCACCCGCGTTCAGATTACCAAAAACCAAATTCTTAGGTTTTACATATTAGTATAATCTTACAATGCAGTTTTCGTATTTTTTCTCAGAAATGAGATATTTTCTCTCGTTAAAAAGTATCCTATATGTTGACCCGGATATCCAGCTACCACCATACCAAATTTCATCAAAATCCCTCCAGTGGTTTTTCCGTGATGCGGTAACAGACAGACAGACAAACAGACAGACAGACAGACAGACAAAAATTATCCAAAAAATATTTAATGTACAGATTCGGCTTAGTTACAATTTTATTATATGTACAGATAATTATTCGGAGAGTTAGTTAATTTTAAGATTAGTGATTGAATCGGAGCTCATGTCAGCATTCTAAGTGAGGGTGGGTTTCGACCACCATACTACATTCTGGACTCTACTTTGCTGATTAGAAGCAAGCTATGAAAAATAAACTACAAAAATTAAAAACACGACCAAGAAAGCGACCCAAAACGATGAGAACAAGATGACTAAGGCGCATAGCAATATGCAGTCGGAGACACGTTTTATCCATGCTGCGAGTCTAGCTACTTGTATGTTTGTCTCCGATTGTATAATACTATTTTCTTCGTCAAGTTATTCTCATCTTTTTAGTTCGCTCTTTACGCAGTCGTTTTTTTTTCTAAATATTTTTTATTGACAATTGGAAGTGTATTTAGCTATTTCATGTACCAAATTACTTTTAAACATATAAGTAGTCTCTATCTAGTAGTAAGTATTTTAGTAATCGCATCTTAAAAAAACATTTTCATACCCCACTCGATAGGCTTTGAAGTAATAATAATAATAATAAATAAACATAGTTTTATTTATTTTTTTGTAAACTTATCTAATTTAGCTAAAAAGTCTGTTTATATTTTTGTTTATATAAATGTTATTTTTAATTAGTTTTTGAATGTAAGTACATATTTTTTCTGTAATTTTTCTGGTGGAGGGCGTTAATAATTGCGACACAGTTTCTTAACTTCTGCAATTATTATCGTTTAAAACTGTTTTTGCTATATATAACTGATATTTCAATACATAAAAATAGTCTCGAATATGCATATGTACATACATACGAACACATAACTGTCTTTTGGACTTCGCCGAAGTCGGCCAAAAAGACGAAATTTTGACTTTGACTGACTAGGTACATGAATAGGTACTTTAAAATTTTTTATTTACCTTGATTACCTTGATTAACTGCTGAGGAAACTTCATCGTTTTCTATAGCAGTATATCGTAAAGTATATGCAACACTGTTTGATAATACATATTATACTAAAATAAAATATTCAATTTCTAAATCTACCTGTAACTTTGCTTATCCGGTTAAATATTAGTTCACAGACCTCCATAGAGTGTGGGTGGTATAACAGAAAATCTATATCACAAAACATGTTTCAATCACAAGACTTACTCATCCACAAATATACCTATACAAATTATTAACACTGTCATTATTTGTCAAGTAGATGACATGGACTACAGTGCGATGCTACGATTATGCGTCAGCATGTGCGCGGCCGTACCGTACCAAGCGGGCGAAGGCGCTTCCAGACGTGCCTTGCGACCTGAGCGAGCAGAGCTACTGCACCATCCCCGGGAACAGCTACCCCTGGCACGCCATACGAAGGTTCATCCGAGAGAACCAGGTAACATTGAACTACGTAAAGTTGACCTGCCAGAAAATCTATTTATTTTTAAAATTCAAGAAAATGAAGCCAGTTGATAAGCCAAAAAAATTGTTAAAAGTAGCCGGATAGTGGCAGCCATGTTTTTTTTGGACTGGAGTAATTATTTTGAAGATGAGAGATTTCAAAATGCATTTAAAAAAAAAGCATCCAAATATTTTTTAAAATCACATAAAAAATAAGGTCTTTGAATAACGTTATCGATAGGCGGCGACAAGCTTACAAAGTAAGAAAATATTGGTGCGAGATATAATGACGATTTCACTTTTTATTTTAATACTACAATAAAATCTGATCGTGTATCGTGACTTTTACTTACATTGCAGTTACTTTTATTTTATTTCGCACAGTTAGATTTTAGAGAGAAAGAGAAGGTACATTTTTTATGTGTTACGCGATATCTTGTACTAATTGTGAATCAATGTATTTACTTATGTGTATTTACTATTTATGACACCTTATATGTATTTACTATTTATGACACCTTATATTTCAAGGCAAAAATCACCCCTAAGAGGGGCCAAGAGGAACAACTTGGGTAAACTTTTACTTAAAAAAAAATAAAGAAACTTTAAGTTAAAATATAAATTACATGTAAAATAATTCGAATTTTGATAATTTCAGGGTCTTATGCGAAGAATGTATGGTGAGGAACGTCACATAGCCGTACTTAAGGCAGAGTTGGAAAATTTTATTGACGACGACGAAGATAACAATGAAAAGGGCCCAGATTTTGCAGAAGACATAATTAAGACTAAAATGTTGTATACAAAGAAAAGCCACGGACGTGCCATGAAAGACAAACCGCATTTTAGACCCATTCAATCAAATAATGATAAACAGAAAAAGACTGAAAATGATACTTTAAAAGTAAAGCCGCTTGAAAATGTCGGGAACAGTTCAAACATAAAAGAAAATGGGAATGACACTGACGTGAACAATAACGAAACTCTAAACGATGATAAAGGCATATCGTACAAAACTAAACTTGAAAGTATTGCCAATATAGAAATAAACAATTTAGATCCAGATGTGATCACATTAGAAGCTGTAATAAAGCAAAGTATAGAAACAAATAGTGTATACTCAAATTTTTCAGGAACTTCAAAAAGTGAAGTACTTGAAACTAAAAATAATACAGACAGAAATTTCACAACAACAACTGAGGTCCTCAATAGTACAGAAATTGCCGACGATCAATACGACGATTTAACCACAGAAACAAGCAAAGACGGGTGGAAAAGTAACGCTGACATTTCCACTTTGCCTCCAACATTATTATTTTCAGAGCATGATAGAATAAAAGATCGAGTAGATTATAAAGAAAATGACAAGAAAGAAGAGTTCCATCAAAAACCAGTTCAAGAGACCATGCGGCCTTCTATAATAAAATTGCGTGGAGCGTAAGTTTTCTTACTTGTATAATAATCCTGATTGCACATCGATCAAAAAAGTACTAGATACACAATCAGCGACAAAAAATGTCCTCACTGAATCAGAGCTCATTTGAACATTTGAGCGCGCTTTTAATTTAAATTTTACACGAACAAAACCTTATTATTTACTCTTCCATTTCAAAAGCTATAGATATATATATATTCTAAATCTTATGAAGGTTGATTGAGAGCGTTAAAAAAATAACAAAAAATCAATATACGAAAAAAATATTAATTATTAATAATGTTCGGAATTTCATTTAGAAACTAAATTCTTAGAATTGTTTTAATAAAATTTATTTAATATTAAGTGGAGTGGAAAAAAATATGTCCGTATAAAAATTAATAAGTTATAATGATGACGGATTTTTTTAATAATACTTATACAACGTACATTCATTTCCATTGATGAACTCATGAACGAACAGGTTCGGACACGAATCACGACAAATGCTTTCACCCACGATAACTTACAAGATTATCGACTAAATCTGTAATATATGGATGTTTTCCTTATTCGCTTATTTTTATTAAGAAATCGAATACTTTCATTGGGCTTTACCGCTATGTTATGATTACGAATGACCATTGATTCAGATATCATATTTGCATTAGCCATTTTTTGTTAGATGCTTTTAGAGATCTTGAATATGGAATGGATGTTTTAGAATATGGAATTTTTAAATCCAAAACCTCTTACCATTTCGCAATATTTGTAATATTATAAATAACAGACCTGGAAGACTGGTTTTTTCAATTTATTCCATTCCAGGAACGCATGTGAAACTAAGGAAGAGATGGCGGCTCCGTTTTGGGCAAATAGTACTAGAGGGGAAATGCTGGCACTCCTCAACATGTATCCATTCGAACAGTATATCCATTTAGAGACCTGTGTACACAAACACAAGCAAATGTACTGTAGGGAAGGATGCAGGTGATGTCACTTGATTTAATTATATTTAAATTATTAATTTATCTAAATATAACGATGATTGGTAAAAAGACGCTAAACATTTATCATATATTTAAATGACAAGCCCATAAATATTATCTCGATACGTATTTTTGAATTTAGGTAAAAATAAGTATCAGTATTAAACAAAAAAACGGATACTAACTTAAATTGTCATCATGAGAAAAATATTCTAAAAAATATTTTTTTGCGTTTATATACATTTTAATACATTTTAACGTACATACAATACCGTAATTAGGTCTGCCGTGTCTGTCACAGCTATTATCGAATTTACTGAACAAAAAAGGTTAAAAATTTCTAATAGAGAAATTGTTTTTTAAGAGCTTCAATATGCTTCAATATAGAGACAAAGCGAACTTGAAAGTAATAGGTAATAACTATATTTTCAGATGCGAGCAACAATTCCGCCTCCACCGCCTTTTAGCTTACGACCCGCGCAACGAATGTCGGGGAATTTTCGCCGACTGGTTTAAATTTCCAGCTTGTTGTTTATGTAAATGCTATGATGTTCCATTGGAGTTCCGCGCGAGATCACCCCGGGTCCTCCACCCCCAGTATGATGAAGAAGTGAAGAGACTGATATATGAAGACGTCGCGAGGGACTGGTACTCAATGTCGTATAGTGATGAAGATGATGATGATGATTTGTATTGATGACAGAGTCTAAAAGATAAGGCGCATACATATTACATATCGATCAAAAAAGTACTAGATATACAATCCCATGCAAAAGTTCTCTTAAAACTGTCACAAATTGTGTTTAGGTAATTATTCTAGTTGAAATAAATATACAACAATGTAAATTGAACCTTAAATGTAATGTTAAAAGTTGTTGTCACAAAAAAAATCTATTAAAAGCGCGCTCAAATGTTCAAATGAGCGCTCATTCGGTGAAGACATTTTTTGTCGCTGATTGTGTATCTAGTACTTTTTTGATCAATTTGTTCGCATAAAATATTAATACAATCTTATATTACGAAATTTAAAATACGTAAATGGACATTAAAATACAAAGAATGACACCAAGTTAATATGAACATTAGACGAGTGATTTTTTTATTAAAATAATTTTAAATTATTACAGTGTCGTATCAAATAATTAATAATGTGTATAGTTATTGATTGATTATTCATGAAATAAAATATCCGTTTATAATATGTCTAGAATAAATAAATAGACTTAACAAAATAATGTCTAAGCCACGATATAAAAAGCGTGTAGTGACCGTTATAATATTGTTATAACGTTATAATATAGTCTATTTCTGTTCTAGTTAAAGACAGTCTTGCTCACTATCGTAAGATTTATATTCCCTAACTAAACCCCACCATTATAATAAATATATTTAGAATAATCGATTATTATAATTTATTTTATAAAAACTAATAGAATGCTTGTTAATTAATATTATTTAATTCGCCTTTTTTAATTGAACATTTATTTATTAGTGTATAGTAGGACAGATAAAGTTATTAAATTGTTTATATTTTGTTAAAAATTTATAATTATAATAATTTTAAGTATCTACACATAGGTAAGATATTTGTTACTAATTATTATTTTTAAGGCTAGTGAAAAATTGTAAATTTACTGTATAAAGAGTAATACAATGTTAATATGGAAATATTTTTATTAAAGTTCAATCGTTTCATACAAAACTCTTATTATTTAAAACTTCTTTACATTAGCATATTATATACATAAAAAAATATAAGAAAGTTTCAAAAATAAATAAATATAATATGTTGGCACTATTAGTTCTATGGTAAGACTACGAAGCCGTGTTATGGATACCAGATATACTACACACATATAACTTTAAATATATGCCATATTATAAATATAAACACCCACGACTGGAGTACAAGAATTCGTGCTTATCACACAAATGACCCCAGCGGGACTCGAACCCGCGACCGCGAGCACAGCAAATAGGGTACAAAACAAACTGAGCCAAACGTGTCGTGAAAAAGAGTACAACAATTAAAAAATTCATCAAAATCGATTTAAAGTCATTGGCTTATATTAGGTCTAGTATGTTATGAGTATGACAGTATTCAGTAATACTACTTGCACGTCAGGAGGAGAGGGATTTTTAAAACCGTAATGGTTACGTTTTACCCAAATGCTATTGACTATAGAACAACATTTTTTATCTATATCACAAAGAATACGCATTTCATTTTATTAGTGGCTGGGCTGTAAGAAATACGTAATAGGAATATAGTATAGTTAATAATAATTACTGTTGCTTTAATAATTAAAATTTATTTCTTAATGTTTTGAGTTTTGACTATCATTGGGCACCGCATTGCGAACGTAACGTCACTCGACAGTCGAAGTGACATCAGCATAACTGTCACTTGCGCGTTAACTATTGACATTGACAGTTAGTTCGATTGACGTTATAGTTAAGTTACAACAAAAATAACAATATTTACTTTAATGAAACACGTTTTATAGCGTATATTGGGTTATTCAGTCATTAAACTATGATCTTTAGTTCTGTTAAAGAGGTGTTTTGCACTTATTTTACAATTAATAGATTTTAATAATCAAACAAATACCTTCATGAAAATGAGAACTAGCCCAAGCCAATTTCAATCACTGGTAGAATTTATGGAAAGGTAAGTTTCCTAATTTAAATATATTATGGATGTAAATTAAGTTATTATATATTCATCATATTTGTTCACATGAAGATAAAAAGCTTTGATATATTTTTACCTATAAATAGGTATGTTTAATAAATTTGAATTTTATTTTTACTGTTTAATTAACATGAAATAACTCTATAATTTTAAGTAACACAATTTACACACACACTTTTTTTGACACAGTATAATTTAAAGTAAGTACCATTGCTAGGAATGGAGACCTCAGTAAGCCTACCGAAGGATCTCAAGGAAGGATCACAAATATACAAATGTGGGTTCGATTGACAAAGCTGTTAAATTCAGAGTCTTCAGGTGACACTAAAACAGCAGAGAAATGGAGAAAAGTTTGTAGTTATTTTTATTTTCATTTAATAGCATATATAAATTTTAAATACATTGGACTTCCAACTACATAATATTTTAATCTATTTGCAATGAAAAGGTGTGGAGTGACTTAAAAAACAATACTAAGAAAAAAGCAGCCCGAATAGAACAATCAGATTGTAAACCTAGTGGTGGTCGTGCTCACAAACTCAAACTGAGTGACTTAGAGCAAAGAGTTCTTAATATTATTGGTCAATCAATTACTACAGAGGTGGTTGAATTTCCTGAGATTACATTAGATCAGGTACTTGCAATTTTAGCTCATGACTTAAGCATGATATGGTATAATTGTTATTAAAAATAAATTATATTATTTTTCAGGAAGATGAAAAGTCATCCGCTTCAAATAGTGAATCTTCAGAAAGCCCATCAGATTCTCAGAGGGAAACAATGTTTGAGCCAAGTTTGTTTAGTTAGATAGCCCTATCTCGTTCTTACTTCATATAGACACTTTATTAGATAATGAGAGTTTTAATAACATTATTATTTAATTGCAGATATAGATGCCTGGGATCAACCAGGTAATAGTGAACAACATAGACCACAAAAATCAAAAGCTTCAATAAGGCGACGGTGGCGTCCGATGCATCAAGGAAGAAGAATTAGATCTCAGGCAGAAGCCCCACGGCCAGTGTTTGTCAGTGCAGATAGTGAGTGGCGAACGTTTCAAAGGGAAATTGAAAAAGAGAGGTTAAGACTAAGAAAAAGGGAGCTACATCAGCAAGGACGATGGTTGGATCTGTTTGAACAGTTTTTAGATTTAGGTAACAGAGTTGTTGATGTCTTGGAAAAGAAATAAATACATTTATAAACGAAATCTGATTATTGCTCATATCAAATAAATACTTGTCGTGTTCTTCATTTATAAATACTATTTAAAATAAGGAGAAGCTAATACGAATAATGAGTTTTTTAAAACATAATATAAAGCAAATTTTTTTAATGCAGTGATTTACGTATCGTAAGACATATATTAGGTAGTTTTATAAGCATTCAACATCTCACATTAATTGAATAGCTAAGTAAACACAAAGTTTTAAAAGCTTACAAAAGAACCTAAACTGCAGCCGTACATGCTAGCCACTACACCACTGAGGCAGTTAATAGGAATATAGTATAGTTAATAATAATTACTGTCGCTTTAATAATTAAAATTTATTTCCTAATGTTTTGACTATCATTGGGCACCGCATTGAGAACTTAGCGACACTCGGTGACTCGACAGTCGAAGTGACATCGGCATAACTGTCACTTGCGCGTTAACTATTGACATTGACAGTTAGTTCGATTGACGTTATAGTTAAGTTACAACAAAAATAACAATATTTACTTTAATGAAACACGTTTTATAGCGTATATTGGGTTATTCAGTCATTAAACTATGATCTTTAGTTCTGTTAAAGAGGTGTTTTGCACTTATTTTACAATTAATAGATTTTAATAATCAAACAAATACCTTCATGAAAATGAGAACTAGCCCAAGCCAATTTCAATCACTGGTAGAATTTATGGAAAGGTAAGCTTCCTAATTTAAATATATTATGGATGTAAATTAAGTTATTATATATTCATCATATTTGTTCACATGAAGATAAAAAGCTTTGATATATTTTTACCTATAAATAGGTATGTTTAATAAATTTGAATTTTATTTTGTACTGTTTAATTAACACGAAATAACTCTATAATTTTAAGTAATTATGTGCAATTTCTAGGACTGGAGACCTCAGTAAGCCTACCGAAGGATCTCAAGGTAGGATCACAAATATACAAATGTGGGTTCGATTGACAAAGCTGTTAAATTCAGATTCTTCAGGTGACACTAAAACAGCAGGGAAATGGAGAAAAGTTTGTAGTTATTTTATTTTCATTTAAATAGCATATAAATTTTAAAAATATTGGACTTCCAACTACATAATATTTTAATCCATTTTCAATGAAAAGGTGTGGAGTGACTTAAAAAACAATACTAAGAGAAAAGCAGCCCGAATAGAACAATCAGATGGTAAATCTAATGGTGGTCGTGCTCACAAACTCAAACTGAGTGACTTAGAGCAAAGAGTTCTTAATATTATTGGTCAATCAATTACTACAGAAGTGGTTGAATTTCCTGAGATTACATTAGATCAGGTACTTGCAATTTTAGCTCATGACTTAAACATGATATGGTATAATTGTTATTAAAAAGAAATTATATTATTTTTCAGGAAGATGAAAAGTCATCCGCTTCAAAAAGTGAATCTTCAGAAAGCCAATCAGATTCTGAGAGGGAAATTAAGTTTGAGCCAAGTTTGTTTAGTTAGATAGCCCTATCTCATTCTTACTTCATATAGACACTTTATTAGATAATGAGAGTTTTAATAACATTATTATTTAATTGCAGATATAGATGACTGGGATCAACCAGGTACTAGTGAACAACATAGACCACAAAAATCAAAATCTTCAATAAGGCGACGGTGGCGTCCGATGCATCAAGGAAGAAGAGTTAGATCTCAGGCAGAAGCCGCACGGCCAGTGTTTGTCAGTGCAGATAGTGAGTGGAGAACATTTCAAAGGGAAATTGAAAAAGAGAGGATAAGACTAAGAAAAAGGGAACTACATCAGCAAGGACGATGGTTGGATCTGTTTGAACAGTTATTAGATCTAGGTAACAGAGTTGTTGATGTCTTGGAAAAGAAATAAATACATTTATATACGAAATCTGATTATTGCTCATATCAAATAAATACTTGTCGTGTTGTAATGAGTTTTTTAAAACATAATATAAAGCAAATTTTTTTAATGCAGTGATTTGCGTATCGTAAGACATATATTAGGTAGTTTTATAAGCATTCAACATCTCACATTAATTGAATAGCTAAGTAAACACAAAGTTTTAAAAGCTTACAAAAGAACCTAAATAATTCAATAAATATTTTACTATAGTATCTGTCATAGTAGTGACTAGTGTCGCTACCGTCAGTGTAGGCACGACTACGATAGTGCCTGCCGAATAAGTTTTCGATAGGTTTCTGCGATTCGATAACGATAATAGTCATGACAATAATTTAACCACGACGTCTTACTTACCTGATTGATTTATGTACTGTGTAATTGTATTGTGTACACAGTAGCACTACTATACTATGTAAAGTGTTGTGGATTGTTTCTAATAAAAATACAGCACAAACTTAACTAACGGATAGTCGTTAGGCCTTATTCCTCATTAATAACATTTTTGGCTTTTGGAGTCGAATTTTGCACCTTCTAGTTTTACCTCAACTCTCACCAAAAATTGCATTCTTCAGTAATAATAATTATTCATATTTATTAAACAAATGATACAATAGCCAATAAGTCTTCTAAATGAAAAATTTACTGTGGACTATATTACCAGTTACATAGTTTTCGGAATCCACTAGACAATAATTTAATTTTTAAAACGTTCTGGAATTTAATAAATCACCCCAAAATCGATTGAACTCGATTGATTTTGCTGCTCGGCAATCACTATTTTATAATTTAAACGTCAAAAATTACAATTTAAAAATTATGAAATAATGTAGCCATTTTATAAATTTTCCCCAAATATATTTAAAGAACAAAACTAATATCAGCTGTAAAAAAAATCGATAGTATATGAACTTCTATCTTATCGACAGGATTTTTGTTACTAATACTCTTTACATATACATTCTTTGTAATTTTCAAAAATATGCTCATGTTCGATTCTCATGTATTTCATATGATTTTGTATATTAAAGTTATTTTTAGTTTTTGACTGAATGTTTGAAAATTATATGCTCTAAATATTTAGTGCCTGAAATAATAATTCCAAGTACATTTTTTTGCGTAACTGTGTACGTTTTAATGAATAAAATTGCATAATCAATAATACCTAAGTTAAAACCGTAAATAATCGTACATTACGTCCCTATATTGAAATAGATGGCATATATACTGGCAACATTATAGAAAATGGCCGTTTCCAAGATGTCAACAACGACGCTTGTTTTCATGTTTTATTATTAGAATAAAATTAGCTGTTGCTTGGTTTTTTTAAAAATAACTTTTAGAGTAATAGTGTTGTGATTATAGTACTTAATTTTATATATGTTGTGAAGAGGATAATAAATAATCACGGAAAATGTCTGGTAGAGGAAAAAAGGCGGCTGCGCCAAAGAAAAAAGCGAATGGGTATAAAATGCCGGCTCCTATTCCTTTAGGAGAAGTGATAAATGATACAATAGCCAAGAAAAAATGGCGCATCGGTCCTTCCATAGGTGTTGGTGGTTTCGGTGAAATTTACTCTGCGTGCGAACATAATGGTTCGCCGAAGAAAACTTCAAACTATCCATATGTCGTAAAAATTGTAAGCTGCATTGATAAATAAATTAATGATTCATAATATAAATGTATTATTAAGTGTTCTATTTTTAAAATATTTGTTTTCAACAGGAACCACATGAAAATGGGCCCCTGTTTGTGGAGAAACATTTTTACATAAGAAATGCAAACAAAAATGATAGTAAGTCAATTCATCATTAAGACTAATTAAAATTCATTAAGATTTTTTATTAATTATGCTTGCTTCACTATCACATACATACTGTCCTTTTATTGTATATATAATCATTTACATATTACTTAGCATCTACTCTATTACAGTTGCTCAATTCATGAAGTCAAAGAAACTAGCAACGTTTGGAATGCCATTATATTTTGGAAATGGTACACATGAGTACAAGGGTGAGAAGTATAGGTATTTAGTATTAGAGAGGTATGGAAAAGACTTATGGACCATCTTCAAGGATTCTGGAAAGAGTTTCACACCAACTACTGTATTCCAGATAGGGCTTCAAATGGTTTGTACAATTAAACTTTTTATTAATTTAATTCATGTTAAAAGTTTTACAACAACAATACTACTAAAATTAAAGTAAAATGGTCCTCCAAGTCTGTTACTATATCTAGATTCTAGATATATGTAGTTAAAAATGATTTTGCAACTGATAACTATATGATAGTTATCACTTATCAGCATATAAAAACAAACCAAATGGTACTTAAATATTCACTTAATATTGTAAAATTGATTTTAAAGACATTTTATTGTATTTATAGAACTTTATAAGTGGGAAGCCTTTGAGGGTTTTTTCCTTAGTAACTATGAATCTACTAAGCTTACTTAAGCTTTAAGCAAATTTCATACAACTTCATCACTAAATCTTACTAGAATATTTTATTTTTCTGAGTCATTTTTTTAAAGTCATTTACGAGTGAGAGACCTTAAAATAAGTTAGTAGGAAAATTATTAAGTACTCAATAGTTTTAATACATATCTTGAAATCAGACATATTTCTATTTTGCTTATTGGTTTTTATAAATAAAGTACTTTTTATCATAATATCATATATCAGAAATATTCCATATTCAGATAATCAGGGGCAAGATATGTTTTGATCAATATAAACTATATTAATATTCAGGCGGTTGTTTTGAGCCAAAAGTAAGAAATGGAATAAAATTTCAAGGGCTATTTTTATTTTCTACTACCAACTCGCCCTCGCTTTACTCGGGTTCGTCCATAGGTGATTCTTTAAATTGGCATAAGTTTTTTTATTTATAAACTGATTGGAATAAAACAAATACAAAATGATAAGTGAAACTGAAGTGTTAGTGAAAACCACACCAAAATTAGTTTGGCCGTTCCTGCGATTATCGCGCACAAACGCACAAACAGGCAAACCAACAAACAGAAAAAAATCTAAAAATAATTATTTTCCGTTCTATTGCGTTAATAAAGACTCCTAATAATAGTTTTACTCAAATATCTTCCATGTGTAAACGGCGATCAGTTACAATTTTATTATATGTAAATGATACCTTATTCTTTTTTAGGGAATAGTAATACGAGTATTACAATTCTAAAAATGAATCTTTTTACCATAACATATTATTTCTTTTCAGTTAGATGTATTGGAATATATACACAGCAAGGGTTACGTCCATGCTGATATTAAAGGTGCTAACATTTTGATGGGTCTCAAGAAGGGTACTGAGAACCAAGCATACTTAGTTGACTTTGGTCTGGCCACAAGGGTGGGGGATAAGGAGTACAAACCAGACCCTAAGAGCGCACACAATGGTACAATAGAATATACCAGCCGAGATGCACATTTAGGAGGTTAAACATTATTTAATTAATTATAAAAAGTTCGTTTTTTTAATTTAGACTTATATATGTACGGTAACATAGTAATGTGCAAAAACAATGGATATATATATATATATATATATATATATATATAATACTTATAAGCAGTGGTAGCCCTGTGGTAACGCGTTCGCTTGGGAAACGGAGTGAAGCGGGTTCAAATCCCGGGTCTCGCACTTTTGATATTTTCATGTGCGAATCATTTCTAACATGATTACCACTTGCCTTACGGTGAAGGAAAACATCGTCAGTAAAACTGCATGTCTAAGAGATCCTAGCAAATTTGCGAAAGACATGTGAAATCCGCCGACCTGTACTCGGCCAGCGTGATGGGCTACGGCCTAATCCCCTCGTATTGAAGGGAAGCCCGTGCGCAGCAGTGGGACGTTAAAAACGGCACGTTTGGCTCAGTTTGTAGTGACTTGCTGTGCCAACGGTCGCGGGTTCGAGTCCCGCCTGGGGCATTCATTTGTGTGATGAGCACGAATGTTTGTACTCCAGTCATGGGTGTTTTTATTTATAATATTTATGTATTTAAAGTTATATGTGTATAGTGTAACAACTATCTGGTATCCATAACACTAGCCTCATAACTTACTATGGTACTAGGTGGTGTTGTGTGTTAATGTACCAACATATTTTTTTTAATTTTTATTTCCAGCGCCAACAATGCGCGGTGACCTGGAGATCCTCGCCTACAACATGCTGCAGTGGCTCGTGGGTGAGCTGCCGTGGGAGAAGCACCTCAAACAGCCAAAAACTGTGCAGAATATGAAGGAGGCATTCATGAAGAATGTCCGCAATGAGATTACCAGCAAGTTTCCTGATGTACCTGGTGAGTTAATAGGATCTTATATGTTATATGGTCTCATTGTGTTTTTTGTACTGAATTGTATATGTCATACCATAGAGAGTGCTTCATCTTGTGATGTCAATACTGTCATTTCTAAACTACCTGAATTATTCCATAATAATAATTGTTATTTCGTAAATAAAAAATATAACCTTTAAAATATTGATACCCAATATCATGGATTATATTGTCTATCCATATAAATTGACAGCGACTAGCAAGACCAATTTATATGGGACATAACTCACATGTCCGCCTCATCTAAGACATAGTGCATATTAGTGTACTCATTCACAAGAATGAAATTTATTTAAGTAGTATCTCTTTAACTTAATCTTTGTAAGCTTCAATTTTTTTTACTATTTACTCGTATCACAGAATATACAGTGGTGTGTATTATCATATTTGCCTATTTTTACTAAATGGTTTGAAGCCATTATCAAGAAAATTGAATTTTAAATTTTTACTAATAATGGATAGCATCCATTTTACTTTAAAATTTCTTGTTCTAAGTGTAGCTTGTATATGTATATCACTATATTTATTTCAATAAAGTATAAATTAAGCATTTATTACATTATAAATGATTCTTTCCAGAAGCACTAATCAAATTTTTTGAATACATCAACACAATGAAACCAAAAACAACTGTAGACTTTACGAAGTGCAGACAAATATTCGAAAGCTACTTGAAATCCGAGGGAGCTAGCAAGACCAGCAAAATAGTGTTGACACCAAGTAAGAAACGGAAAGTGACTAAAATTGAACATGTTCAAGATGATGACGAAGATGACGATGATGTGCCTATAGAAAAAGTTCTTAAGAAGAACACAAAACAAAATAGCCACGTTAAAGTAGCGAGGCGTAAAAAACAGCTGGTTTCAGAAGAGGACTGTGAAAATGAAGAGCCTGAAGACAGTATAGAGAAGTTACCGCCTCGGAAGAAAAGAAAATCAACAGAGCCAGCCGTGTTAGTTAAAGTTAAAAAGACCAGAATGGTGCCAAAACCTACACCTCCACCTAAAAAGAACTTTACAAGTATAGCTACTCAAACATCAACAGAAAAACCTAAGCGAAGTCCCAGACAAGTGTCATTTGACAGTCCAATATGTGAGATAATCGGAGAAAAGAAGGAAACTAAGAAAACCTCACCTATGTCAAGTCCGGATGTGTTTGAAGACTCCTTTGTTATAGAAGAGAAGAAAATTAAGCCCAAACGTAAACTTCTGTCCACTCAAGAAGTTACAGTTAAACGGGAGTTAAGAAAGAAAGTAGTTAATGCCAAACCAAAAAAAGTGGTAAACGGACGATCCCCATCAAAGTAACTGTTAGTGTCATATTAGATTTAATTTCTAACCCATATAATATGTTGTATACATATGTCCGCACCCATTAAGCATAGCAAGATATTGTGTTACCAGATGTTGACCCCAATATAATAATAATTTGCTTTGTACGTCCGTATTTGGCTTGCTCATTGGAAATTATGACAATATTGCAAAATCAGTGATTTTTGCTTATATTTTAGATGTGCATTTATCGTTTTCCGTGTTCAGTTCGAGGCACAGGTTACAGGAAGTCAGCACTCGTTAAAGAAATTCATAGTGTTATATTCATATTTGATTTCTTCTATCAACATTTTTACAATTACGTTTTAGCCTCTGTTATAATTAATTTGAGTTTTAGTTAAGGTACTTATATGTAAATAATATATTTATTTGTGTTGTCTTTTGTTGTTGTTCCAAGATATGCAAAAGACTTGCTCCCTTTATTACATAACATAATTGAATATAGTGTAATAATAATCTTATATCTTATTTTACTTATCAATCCTTCGTGTCTTTGCTATTCTGTGACATGATATATGATGAACATTCATACAATATAGACATGTTGTGAGGTAAAATGTGCTGGCAGACAGGTTTTTTTAGTATGTACTGTAATACAAATGTTAGATAATTTCACACTATCAAAACCTCGAATAGAACATGGAAACGGAAATACCCGTGAGATGTATATTAATTAATATTTATTCTTCCTTTCTTTTCTATTTTACTGATTAAATCCAAACATTTAGGACAACAGATAAGTAAAATCAACAAAAGCAACTAAAATATTCCTTTTAACATAAAGGAAATGTTTGATACGAGCTATAAATAAACAATAGTACTCATAAACGAATAGTAGCAAATATTTAATAATGGATGTTCAACAACAATTCATGATGCATTTAAAAATGACTAAAGTGAATTTAATATTGAAAATATTACAAGTATAGAGAAAAAATAATATTTGAAAAGATTAGAATCTCGGATTGATTTAAAATAGCGTCCCTGTATCTCGAAAATCAAGCTTAAAAGCTAAAAGCTTAGATTGCTTGAATAAATTTCTTCTTAGATAGACCTGAGCTCTTCAACAATCTGGCAGATTGAGGCTAGCAAAAGTGGCGATTTTTTGGACTAAATGGTGAGAAGAAATGGAGGCTAATCTCTAAGAAATACGTGACGAAACTAACTTCAGTCCGGTCCCTATAATTTTATTATTACTTATTGTAAAGTTGACCTAATTCGTCCCTAAAGACTGTGTGTGTGAGAGAGAGGGGAGGAGAGAGAGGGGAGGAGGAGGAAGAGAGAGGGGAGGAGGGAGGGAGAGAGAGGGGAGGAGGGAGGGAGAGAGAGGGGAGGAGGGAGGGAGAGAGAGGGGAGATTTAGAGGAAGGGCATGAAAGAGAGACGAATAGAGGGCGTACGTGTCACTATAACGTGTCATGCTAGTATTGTCAGTGAGCTTGGTGACCGTGACCGAGATACGGTCAAGATATATGTATTTAAATTAAATATTAAATTTGCTTTACTCAAGGCATTTTAGTATACCTATTAGTTAAAAAAAATGTTTTTTACACACACAAGTACGGTTAATCAGGTGTTGTTAGAAAATAACAAAATAATAGTTTTTCCCAATAAAAGTAATTAATAATTAATGATTTTTGATTATTTTTGTGTGTTGTTATCATTATGTAGTTAATGAAGTTGAATGTTTTGGTTGTAATGTTATTGAGTTTTAGTTTTGATCATCGACATATTTATATGGATATGCCTTTTTTACGACATAAAACACGTATTGTAGACATCGATCAAGAAAGTATGTATTACATAGACAATCTCATGCAAAAGTTCTCTTAAAACTGACACCAACACAATTGTGTTTAGGTAATTATTCTAGTTGAAATAAATATACAACAATGTAAGTAAAACCTTAAAATACAACGCTTAAAGTTGTTTTTCATAAAAAAATATGAAAAGCGCGTCCAAATGTTCAAATGAGCGCTCATTTGGTGAGGAGATTTTTTGTCGCTGATTGTGTATCTAGTACTCTTTTGATCGATGATTGTAGATAATAGTTAAATTTAGACTAAGTCTGAATTGTTTTAGTAATTAAAATTAATTCTTACAACTTAAAAAGCTCATTGAAATTTGGTAAACACTTAAATTTTAGAAGGACTGAGGGTTTTTATTACCTATAATTAATTTGGTTTTACTTTAGATTTTTCCTTGGAGATTTCATCAGATTTCCTCCAGTCCTGGGCTTGAAGCCTAGGTCTCCTAACGCACCCTGAGGTCGGTTTCACCATGAGTGGCTCAAGTCGAATTGCAGTCAGCAATTTAGCGAATATCATTGCCCAAAAATAACATTTTAAATAATACTATCTTATTGGATTTTTATGCGATTTTTTTATATTCTTCCGTGACCATGATCTCTGTAAAGTATTCGAAACGTTACGTAAGAAAATATTACAAATACATATTATTTGTAATATTTTCTTACGTAACGTGTTTGTATCTCCTATGGCACACCACTGATTTTAGATTTTCAGCGCATCCAACTGCTGCTAGCCACTTTACGTATATCGTCACTCCACTTAGCTGGAATTATTACACTACGCGTACGTAGCCGTGGTCTACGCTCTTGAACCTCCGTCTTCTCCATTTTACCAGTTACCAGCCCACTGCTACTTCAGAATGCGAATTCTTTCAATTCTTATGTCAGATCCATATATGTATTTCGATGATTTCAACTAAGTGTGTATGAATTGTCGGTTAATTTGTATGTTACTTTGTAAAATAAACAGTATTTTTAACAATTTTGTCTTTTATTTATAACAATGTGTAAGTTGTGATTTTAAGAAAAAATATCTATCATTTTATTAGAAATTGCCATTAACTGCAAAAAAGAAACAACTCTGCAACATTTTTCCTCCAGGGTGGACTTTTATTTTAAAAATGTACCTATATAATATAATATGGTAATTGGTATGTTCCACTTTTAAAGTATTCAAAACATAAAAACAGGCATTAAAGTTCTCAAAAGGCATAGATATCGCGTATACAATAATTTTAGAATGGCTGTATTTTATAGTAGTTTTAAAAAGGCATGCCCTCTCATGTTAAGTCCTGACTCCTGCCCGAATCCTTTGCTTTCGTTTGGATAATATAATTGATTTCTATAATAAAACAAATACTATGAGACAAACAAAAAAATCATTAAAATCGGTCCAGCCGTTTACTTCAGTGGCATTCACACGTACAGAGAAATTGTATGTATGGACAGGATGTCCGTTGGGTCTACTAGTAGTAAAAAATCCTAGAACCCAACTGCAGCGCCGCCTACCGCGTCCAATTGTGAATCTAAACCATCCAGGAATTCATAGTTTCTTCAATATGTCTGTAATTTTTTTTTATTGTAAAATAACATTTTACTGTAGTTTAGATATGTACAGTACCATTAGCTTTAATTTAATCAGATCGTGACTTGGTGAAAATGGGACCACCTCGGAAGTATTATTCCTTTCAAACAAAAAATGATTTTTCAAAATTGGTCCCGCGATTAACGAAAATATCGGTAAACATACATACAGTAGAAACTCTTTAAAATTTAAAATTGGTCCCGCGATTAACGAAAATATCGGTAAACATACATACAGTAGAAACTCTTTTTACAGTTGGTTAAAATAAGTTAGTGTCTAATATCAGTAGTATAATATTCATCACACAGTTATGTGTAGTTTTAAAGTTTAGGTACTGTTTTAAAGGAAGAATCTTTTATCTTATAGATTATAATTGCCATTAAAATATGGGATAGTCAAAACAAAAAACAGTCAAATCCAAAGCTTTTATTTTTATTTACAATATAATCGTAATATGAAAGTAAACAAAATGTAACGTACCAAAAAATTAGATTTAGAAATTTAATAACATAACATGGCGGGTTGTTTGTTTGCGCGTGCGCGTGTTCCGCCGCGACTGCGAGTTACAAAAGCTAACGTACCTACGTGCGGCCGTGATGCGACGCGTCGTGGCCGTCCCGTCCGCCGTGCGGGCGACCCTATTATTGACTAAAACACAAATATGTAGCACCATTTGTAAAAAAATATTACTTTTCGAACGAGACCCCGTCGGGTGAGGGTCGGGGTCGACTCTGTACGTTATCCCGAAAGCCCTCGCAGCAGCATCGATCGTGTGGTACCGTACCTATATACCGTTTAGACATTACTTAGTAAACCTTAGTATTTAATTATAAAAAACCACTATTTACGCCGTTACAGGAACATTTTTATGCAAAATCTATTTAACTTGCAATGGGACTAGTATATTATAACTCCATTGTCATGACATCTTAGTACGGAGTTTGCAAAAATAAGGCCGCATTCACACTAGCGTTCGATGTAAAATATCACACCAATGCAAATGACGCCGCTCCTTTTAGAATATGCTTAACTTTTGTGACCTTGCCGAGAGGCGCTACACCTAACGTTTTGTGCTAATAAATAGTTATATAATATACATATATTTCAATAATTTGGTATATATTTTTTCTATAAAATATCGAGGGTGGCATATTTTAAAAGGAGATTCAACGATACGTCCGTACCCGTCCACGCTTACACCTACAGTCAACGTCTTACAGCTAAGTGGAATAAAGTAATATAGTATCTATTTGTATGCTAACATTACTACATAATTGCGAGGTGGCACTAGCTAACTGCGTACTGGCTTGCCTAAAAGCTGCCGAGCGAGTGACTTGAGTGGACATACGATAACATCTAATAATAAATAAACTTATCAAAGCTACAATTTCAAAGAGAACTGGTCGAGTTAAACAGAACTGGGGGCAATCACTGGTAAGTTATACAAGTTAAATGTATTTGAACACATAAATGAGAAAGAAAACAATAGGAAATTTCTAATATATAACATATTATGTATATCTTAAGAATAACTTTATCCACAGAGTTCTGATACGTTGGATATTCGTACAATTAAAGA